TTATTTGCACATTCAATTTGGTTTTATATATATATATGGGGGGGGGGGGGGGGGGGCTGTGACATCTTCAAAGTGTTTCCACCTCTGCCCTTTACCCAGCCATATCACCACTTATCTAGTGAAGTAACTCTAGCCCAGTAATACACCTGTTTTGCTCCAAAGAGAAAGTAGGTAAAGAGCAAAAATGTAATCACTCCTTTCACTGTCATCAGGATAAAAACAATAATTGTAAGTTTGACAAGATGAGATATTGTCTGTTTAAAAAGACAATTCTTTGGTAAACTAATTAAAATGTTTCTAAAGGAAGGCCACCTGTACCTTTTGTCTTCCTTCTTCTAAAGCAGCTTCCAGTTGCCTGGCCAAGGCTGTATATTCTGCAGATTTCTCTTTAAACTTAAGATTGCTGTGCGTAAGACATTCTTCTTGGTTTGCAAGCTTCTTTTCAAGCTCTTTATTTTCTGTCTCCATCTGTTCTAATTTTCTTTTTACAGAAAACATATATTTTTAAATTACAGTGTGTAGAGAAAAATGTAACACCAATTTTAAGTCAATTTAATACTTACTGCTTAAGGTTTTCACATTTCAACTGAATAAGATAATTTTCCTCTTCCAGAGAAAGCTTTGCCAGAAGATTGTGATTTCCATCAACCTAAAAGGAAAAAAAAAGTTTTCTTGGTTTTTTTTTTTTTGACAGTTTTTAATTGAAACATAATTTATCATATATATTTGTGGGATACAGATTTGAATATCAATACCTGTGTAGAATATTTGGTTATTTTCTTTACAATCAACTTCCAAAGAAATCTATGTACGTTATTGAATAAGAAGGTATAAATATTATTATTACTCCTACAGAGACAGACACCAACAAATGTTACATTGTTAAAATACAAATTCTTAAGTTTCCAGTTAAATTTTAAAAAACTATATTGCCTATGTGGGAAAATCACTAACTGAAAATTTTTCTGGACAATGGCAATTAAAACATTCTGAACAATACTTTTTTGAAAAAGGACATTTATTTTAAGTTGAAATATGAAAATTTTAAACAGTATTAAAATATCACTTGATGACTGAATATCTGTGAAGTTGTCACTATAAGTAAACAACACATTTTTATAAGAAACAAAATAAATCAACCAAAGACACATTTGCCTATGCCTCCTCCCATTGCTTCAAAAGCTGATTTAAATAGCTTAAGAAGCTTTGATAATAAAAAATATATTTTTTTGTCATAATTTCAATTCATAATTTAGGCTAATCTGTATAACTTGATATCTTCCTAGAAAAATTTCTTCCCAGGAATTTAATTCACTGAAAATTTTGTCTGCATGTGTTTAAAAACAGGATGCATTTCAAAATTAAAATCCAAACAAAATTTTTTTTAAATAATTAAAAAAATTAAAATCCAGATTATATTTGGAAGATAGACAGGGAATCATTCCTAAAACTGTTTTTCAAGTAAAGAAAAAGACTTGCTACTATCCTTGGACATGCTTCTTTGATTTAAAAAAATAATTAACTAATTTTAAATGTACTCATTGGATGCTTACATTAAGCTAGAAGGTGGCTGAGTGGTGATTAACAAGACAGACATGATCCCTACTCTGATGGAGTAAAGAAGTATATATCAAAAAAAAGAAAGACTGAAAATAATCCCAATAAACCTGATGCACAATTGTAATTAAAATAAATTAGAATTTTTGTAAACTATAATTTACCTTAAACTGACATCAAGAAACATACATGTAAGCACAGCTTTGCTCCTTCTCTCATGCTATTACTGTGTCCTCATATGTCTAAATATAGATTTGTATGAATACACTAAATTAGCAATTTTAATTACCAATTTTTCACTATAAAATACTAAAAGAATAGCTGCAAAGTAATATTGCAGTATCTGCATGAAACTGTTTTATGAACTGATTTAGATGGGAATTAAAAACTCAACCCGACATGAGTGCCCTCAACTGGTGAAATCAATCCAAAGCATTGCTTTAACACATCTAGCAAAACTCAATACGACCACTGGACACCTGGCCCTGGAGCTCCCTAATGGTCTGTGCCTGTTCTGCACATTTCCCCTTGCAGCGCTGCAGACTTTCCTGACACTCCTGAAGCCTCCGTTCGGCAGCCGTCAAGGAATCGCGGACATGCTCTAACTCCTTCAGATGAGACTCCATCTGGCCTCTCATCTGAGTTGTGGCATTAAGGGAAATAAGTGGAAGATCACGCATTCAGCATTAATATTTTTACTATTTTAAACACTAGATATGCTGTAACATAAGTATTTTAAGTATAATGGTTTTAAACAAAGATTTAACCAAGTACATATGAATAAATATTTAAACTCTGCTAAATAAGAACAGATAACTAAAAAGAGGGTTGGACTTTAGTTTTCAAACTAAAACTAGTTTTGTTGGGCAAATGAATATGGTAATATTAGTTTGCAGGAAGAATGTTTAACCCATTTAGGAAAGCAAACTTTTTGAATCCTGTCATTATATTTAAGCATAGATATTATTAATAAAGCTAGTATAGTAGTTTTCTACTGTCCAGCCATCAGTTCTAAAGAAATTGTCACTTTTAGTCATTCAATCTAATAACTCAGATACTTAACTAAATTAGAACTGCCTTATTTCACTCATCTTAGCCTAAATCAGCGGGGTTTACTGTATATTATTTCAAGACAGCTAATATCAATTCTCACTTTAATGTGATCATTAATATTACTATAAATAAATCTCTCTAATTTTATCTACATTAATCTCTTTGGCTGCTGCAGCTCCTCACTGTAGCACTTTTGTGGAGCTGTAACAAGAAGCAACCTTAAGAAATGTTTGCACTGCTAATTAAGAAAAATTGTCAGATGTGGCATTTAGAATCTTCACAGGAGGAAAAACAAGAGCTAGACTTTTCCCCTGAGACAGGGAACAACTATAGTTTCTGTGCAATACCTGGCCTTCTTGATCACAAAAGATAAAACCAGAACAAAGCATACCTGTGTCCCCAAAACATCTGAGGGCCCACGGCCCATGAGAAAACCAAAAGACTTATAAAAGTGGAAAAGGAAAAAGAAACATTGAAAAAAAAAAAACTTTTCTGATGAAATAACAGTAAGAAAACATTGTGACCTCAGTGTCTGGAAAACACAGGCTCCTGCCTTTTCTGCCTTTGGAACAGGTGTTTGAAACAGGCTCCTATTTACAGTGCTGCCTAGCAGAAGAGGAGACATTTGCATTGATAAGTCTCATGAGAAAAAGAGACCAAAAGACATGAATTGGTGTCTTCTCTGGTCTGCTAAAAATAGGTGAAAAATAATTCTAAGAAAGTAGTAAGTTTTGTGCATTCAGTGGGCTCTCTATCTTGGTTTAACAAGCAGGATGCCTGCTCTGTCTGACCTCTTCTTCACATTGGTGCCTCACTCTGACTTCTCAATCTCTGGATATGGGAGCAATCCAGAGACAGTAATCTTATTATACTCAGTTGGAAATGACAACTAACATCCCATGACCTCTCCAGCCAGGAGTCAGCATCCTATGACTTTCACTGTTTCCTTACCAAAACAACATGAAACCCCAAAAAGGGATGTAGTTTCATTTAAAAACTTAAAAATATCCACAGAAACATCATCACTTGCCAGTACTATCCTTCCCCGCATTCTGTGGCAATAGGGTGAATAAAAGGAAATGATTTTTTAAGATACTATTTTTCTTCCAAAAATGCATTTAGCACAGAATATTTACTTTGCTTTTTTAGATACAAAAGATTTACAACCAGAAAAAAAGATAAAATTAAAAATGAGAGGTATTCAAGTTTGCATACTTATAGTCAATGATGTTCAGTGATAAATCATTTTTTTGAGCTATTTAAATCTGTTCTTAAATCAGAAAAATTAAATATTTATGCTATTTCCTAAATATGAAGGAAAAAGTGAAAAAACACTCAACACAAACAAACATTTCAAGCCTGGAACAAACATTATTTCCTCAGAAAACAAACTTCTACAGAGATTGAGAACAGACCATTTCTAGGTATGAACTAGAAAAAATGAGCAAAATAAAAAAATTTGTATAAAATTCATAAAGTAAAAAACATACAAATATTTTATTTGAAATTTAAAACTTACTGTCTCTAATTTTTTATTTTTGTTTTTTGTTAATAAGTTATTTTCACATAGCAAATTTTTACATTTGCTTTTTACCACTTCAGCTGCTTCTTGCAACTTTTGTACCTGAAAATAAAATATATTAGAGAAACATGTTTTATTTTACTATTAGGACCATGGCATGAAATAAAAAGCTAAAAGTTTGAATTTTCATTTTAAACAAATCATTATTTCTGCATCAATACCCTTGGTATGTTTATCTAATGTTACCCTCCCTTAAATATAGAATCACTCTAATCCACAATCATGTTATGATTTACCTGTTTTGCCCCATCAATACTTCTAAACTCTATTTACGCTCTGAAGACTACAGAGATGTTTATTTTCATGTAAATGTCACTTTAAAAGAAATCAGTCTCTGGTCTACACCAGCCTGCATTCCAATTATTTTCCCATCAAATCAAAATCTACTCAAAAAATATCTGAGCATTTTATACAAGGCCCAGCAGCTGGAATATGGTAACTAATCCGTAGTATTCTCGCTGAGGGATTAAACCTGGGCAACCAGCTGCAAGACCCTGATGCCATTCTCAACTATGGGTCCACAGTCCACCACAGCTTCTATTCTTACCTCAGACCTGGATACTGAACTATTCTAACTGGATGGTTCAACTCCCTTTTCCCATCTAATCTATCCAGACGCAGCCCCTTCCTACTTTCCTACACTTTGTCCCCCTCTTAAACTTTTACCCTTAGTTCATTATTCTTTAATTCAAACTGTCTCTTTCAATAAAATCAAGATCTTTATTAACCAGTTGTTACCCATGATGCAAGAACCTGTGCAAGTCCTATATTTTTCATGAAGTTTTACTTGACTATTACATTTCCAAAATATAAAGCTTTTCTATAAATTACCACTGAAGAAATGTTCAATTTCATACATTTTATCGTATGTTCTTTTCTAGGTCTTTCATGTGAATAAATCTGAATTATACTTTATTTATTGAGAAAAGAGGAGTACTGGGCTTTAATGACCCTAGAAGGGAGTCATTAATCTAAATCAATACCATTAAATATACCAAATGACAACTATAACCCCAGATTCAAGATTATATATTAAGGTTCACATTACACCTACGTAATTAATTTTAAATCTGCTTTTAGAATTAATACATCCATAGGCAGTGTGTGAACTGAGGAAATCACAGAATCATCTATTTATAGATATTTGGGACCTTAAGAAATGTTTGGGATATATCATATTATATCATAAAATGACAGCCCCATTTCTCTTCAGCTCTGTTTATTTAGATTTCAGACAAATACAGTGTTTTAAATTGTCTACCAATTTTAAAAACATTAAAATAAATGCAGGGATCACCTGAGTTTTATACACTTCAATAACAGCTTTCTGTTGTTTTTCTACTTCTTGCAATTCTAAGAGTTCATTTTCAACAGAAACAATCTCATCCTTCAAAGCAGCGAATGTACTCTAACAAGGAATATATAAATAGATTTTATAAGTCATTAGAATACACAATTATAAAAACATAATTCATTTATAAACAAAGTTAAGAAAATATTTTTGATTGCATACAATTACCACCTAAAATTTAGGAATTTTGAAAAGTTAGTGACTAATACTTATGAATAACCTTAATAAGACCTATGTAGACACATGCTTTTTAAAACTTTTAAAACTCACTGACAAAAAAAGACTTGGAAAAGAGACATGTTCCTGGATAGGAAGAGTTAATACTGTTGACATAGCAGTTTTTTCCGAATTAATTTAAAACTTTATGATTTCAACTAAAAGTATAACAGATGGAGGGGATATGACAAAATTAACTTAAAATGCAAATGAAAGATTAAATAGGAAAGATTAATACAATTTTGAAAGGGATGCTAAGAGGAGAATCTCAATACCTACTGGATATTAAAATATATAAAGAATTAAAATTATACTAACAAGAATACAGAGGTCACTGGAAAAGAAAAATACACAAAAACTATACTTAGTACATGATAAAGGATGGATTTTAAAATTAATGAGGAAAACATGGATCACTAAGTAAATGGTAATAAGATAACTGTTTAACCCTGAGGGGAAAAAAATAGGTTAATTGCCTGCCTCAATCCAATACTAAAGAAGCATCAAATGAATTAAAGATTAATTATAAAAAAATAAAATTTAAAAAATTTTTAAAGAAGATTCAGGTAAAACTGTATTTCATTTTAAGGTAGCAAAAACCTCACTAAGCATAAAATCATAAGAAGATATTGAGAACTGTAACGGTCTGAGATTTTAACCTCCTTCAGTCTTACCAGTCAGCCTACCACGGTTTCATGGATGTTAGCAGAAGACACAAGACTCCTAGGCCAGAGACTTATTACTCATAGCAAGACTGTCAGCATTTGAGTCAGTTTCCTGAGCCCCAGTTCCCACAGGACAATACAAAGAAGGCGAGATGACAACTGCATATGCAGTGGGACGCATTACAGGACAGCAAACTTAAGTTTAGGGAATCCCAATCTCTTAGGCAGCAAGCATGCCTACCTACCCTTTGCCATCTTCCAAGGATGTTCGCTCTGCAAATATCCTTGAAAAGATAGTCTGGATCACAGGTGGTCAGTGCCTCTGCTTGCAAGATGTGCAGAACTATGAGTCTCTCTTAACAGAAGCCATTAGAAAAACAAAACATATATATATGTATATATGTATCTCCAAAATTTCACAGCCCCTCCAAAAAAGTTTGAGGAAAATATGAAAAAATATTAGCAAATTATGACAAACTTGATACATGCAATTTGTTCATTTGACAAAAATAAGATTAATATCCTTAATATAGAGGTTCTTATATATTAATTAGTATAAAAGACAAATATAAAGAATAACAACTAGGTAATTCAAAAAGACACAAATATAAATGATCAATTAATATATGAACAAATACATTCACCAGTCATTAAAAAAATGCTCCAGGCACTTGAGATTCTAGTAGTGAACAAAAAAGACAAAAATCCCTTCCTTCATGGAGCTTGAGGAGTAGATTAGACAAAAATCAAGAATAAGAAGTAAAATGTCATACATGAAAGCAGGATAGGAATGACATGTTGGGGATGGGCCAGAGAAGGCCTCCTTAGAGAGACTCGAGTAAAAACCAAGAGGAAGCATGGCTTTTTTGAGTATTCCCACTGAAAAAGGCATTGGTGGGGGGAGGCCTGGCCAGTGAGGGGGAAAACAGCAAGAAGGACAGTGTGGCAGGAATGAAGAGAACAAAGGAGAAAGAGGACCGAGTGGAGATCAGAGAGGTAGTGGAAAGGAAAGCCAGATGGTATAATGCCTTGTAGGTGTTTATTCTATTAACTAAGATATCATTGGAGAGTTTTGAGCAGAGCAGTGACATGGTCTGACTTGCATTTTTATAGGAACTACTCTACTGCTACACTGAATGCTGCCTGCAGGGGCAAGGGCAGAAGTAACGAGAATAGTCAGAAAGTCATTGTAACAATGAGAGATGATGGTGGCTTGAACCAGGGAAACGGCAGTGCTGCTGGTGAGAAGTGGTCAAAGTCTGGATATATTTTAGGTAGATCTGCTGACGGACTGGAAGCAGGATGTGAGAGAAAGATTTACCATTAACTGAGATGGAGGAAAACTGCAGGATGAACTATTTCGGAGGATATCAAAGAGCTCCATTTTGGACATGATAATTTTGAGATACCTATTAAATATCCAAGTGGAGATGTTAAGAAGGCAGCAGAATATATGCCTAGAATTCAATGTCTAGGCTAAAGGTATAAATTTGAGAGGTCCCTGCATAGAGATGGCATTTAAAGCCACAGACTAAATGAGATTATCTATCAAATCCGGAGAGATTTGTTTTAAAATTAGTACTTTTAATTTCTAATTATAATTGCAAGTATAGGGACACTTACATGTGGTAGACAGATTTATGATGAGTAATTTGAAAATATATAACAATATTATAAATGGGTCTCTCTTTTGGCCATACAATTCCACTTCTACAAATTTATCCCAAGACAACAGATGTGCAAAAATGACTCACCTATCCACATTTTTAATTTATAATAGCAAAAAACTGGAAGTAGCACATATATTACATATAACATCAAAAATTATATATACCTTAAAATATTAACTTTAGTTATCTTTCAGTTGTAAGATTACAGGTGATTATTAAAATTTTTTCTTTTGTGTTTTGCTGTTTCTCCAATTTTCTATAATGAACAAATACAACTTTATAACCCTCCACATAAACTTGTTGTTTTTAATAGAGGAGGTCACTGGGCTCTAGAAGCAATATCACTAGTTTCTTTTTCATTTGAAACTTTGAAATCTAAAAATATTCTAAATTAGAAGTAGTAAAACACAAATATCTAGGCAATTTTACACCACAAATAACATTCCAAACACACCTACATATGTTCCTTAAAAAATCCAGAGAATAATGCATTAAAAACATGTTTCTTAATTGTTTATAGAATATGCTAAGATGTGAATTTTAACTCAATGATTTTTATGGTCTACGTAATTTAAAATTAATTCCATTACCATATGATTAAAAACTAGATTCATAATTAATGAAATATCCTTCTAATCCTTTCTCTTTGAAGGATATCGAGGAAATTAAGAAAATAAACATAATAAATAAAATTGTTTCCTCTTCCTAGACAAAGCAATTTAAGCATTTACTGAACAAATATTCACTGATAGCCAAGTATATGTCACACCTTCCCTGGGCACCCTGTGCACACAAAGATAGGAGTTTATAAGGAGAGATTCACTGAGAAGACTTTGGGAGGAAGTAGCATTTGAGCTGAACTTTAAAAGAAAGGTAGGATTTAGATACTTGGAAAAATAGCCTTCCAAAGCATAAGAATAGAAAAACTATAGAAATAGATGCAGAAAAACATGAAACAATTGCAGAAAATAATGAATATTCATATTTGACTAGAGCTCAGAATAACGAGAATACTACATTCCCTAGTCTCCCTTGTAGCTAGGTGGGGGAGCTCATGTGCCTAAATAAGTAAATGAGTCAAATTGCATGGGACTTTTGGGAAGTCTACTAACAGGGGAGGAGATTTTTAAAAAGATGATATAATGCATCTTTTTTTTCCTCCATCCTGTTGTTTAAAACTTGGCTGCAATCGCTGAACTCCAGCAGCCATTTCGTTCATGAGGATGAGGGTCACAACCTAGGGATGGCAGAGCAGAGAGCTAAAAAGAAGCTAAGTTCTCTGATGCCATATAGGCTTTGAACTGCCAACTCTGGACTTCTTTGACATAATGCATATATACCACTCTTATTTAAGCTACTTAAATTGGGTTTTCTATGATACACAGTGAAGCTAAACCTTAATACAGGACTTGCTGAAATATAAAAGATACTTCTCTAGAGTTGTTAGTGTATTTCGTTTTCTGGAAGTTTCCAATACAATTTCTATCACAGTTTACATAATTTAAAAGATGAGACAAACCAAATTTGTAATTATAAAATGTGAACAAGTTTATGTCCTGTATTTTCTTCCTTCCTTCCTCCAAATTCTAATCCTGGCTCTCCACTAAATTAGCCGTGTATTGATGTCCAAGTTATTTTTCCTCTCTGAGCTTCAATGTATTCTTCCATAATTGAGAAAAACATCTTTATTATAGTATTGATTTGAAAATTAGAAACAAAGAATGTAAGACACATATGTAAGTGTCTCCTATACTAAAGGTAATCAATAAACAGTAGCCATTATTGTTGTTATTCTCCTCTGTTACTTATTAAATGTCTGATATGTTCAAGGTACAGTACTAGACACTAGAAGTAAAATGAAGATAAAACATAATCCCTGGCCCCGGTGTGTGGAGGAAGAAGGAAAGGATAGCCAAGGGGGTAGACAAATCATACAAACAATCAGTTGCAATGCAATTATATATGTAGAATCAATACAGAGAGAAAAAAACAGAGTGCAAAATGGAGAAAAGGTTAAGTAATGTGCTCTATCAGAGAAAATTTCCTAGAGTGAAATAAAATTAAAGAGACTTCTGCTCTAAGACTAACCACATTTGCTTATCTCCCTTTCTTCCCAAGACTAAACTAATATAAAGAAATGAAAATATTTACAAGTCCACTTACTGAAGAGAACAGAAAATGGGCCAAAGAACAAAGTATTCATAATGCTTCTGGAAAACGGATGACTGATTAATGAAGCAGGAATGGATTCAGCTAAGGAGGAAGTTCATCCATCAACAGAATCTAAAGAGGCACAGGGCTGAGGATAAGAGTGACACACCTGGGGTTGAAAAGAATTAATTCCAAATCTGTGAATAACCACCACTACCCTCTCTCTAACTTCTCTCTGACTCACTCAAGGCAGAACACCTGGAATTAGGATCAAAAACAAGAAATGTTATCTTCTCTAAAGAAGTTGAATTACCTGTCTGGAGGGAACTAGAACAGAGAATAGTGTTCGTGACCCACAGCAAAGATGCACATCTTTTGGCATTTTTTAGGGACACCAGGCAAACTGCTAGTTTCTCAACAGCTGAGGAAAGTGAAATGAAGTGAAACCAATCAAGTGACAAAAACCATTCACATATCCAGATTAGTTTTCTATTGTCTCTGTTTTACTATTGTCTCATTTGTAAATTCTTGAATGTTACCAGACCTTTATAGCAAAAGACAGAAACATGAAAAGAAAGACCCACATATCACTTTAATTTAAAAAAAAAAAAAGAAAAAAATGAACCAGGAGGAAACAAATAAATTGGAAAACTGAAAAAAAAAAATTTAAATAACTATTCCTACAGGTATCTTCAGATATTCGATAATAAGAACACTCAGAGAACACTACGTAATTTTTGAAAATTAAACTTTTTAAAGGAGAGTTAGAAAATAAAAACCAAGAAAATCTCCCCCAAAATTAAACAAAAGCCAGAAATTGAAAACAGAGTATCAATCCAGGAGGTCCAACAAATCAACAATATGATCAGCAGTACATCCAGACAAAGACTGGAGAAAATGGAAATGGAAAGGGGAGAAAGTATTACCAAAGAAATAAAACAAGAGAACTTTCCAGTGGTAAAGGGCTTGGGTACATGGACAAGCCCATGGACTTGTACTCAGCACCATGGACAAGTAGACACCCACATCTACACACATGTGTGAAATTTCAAAACACAAAGGATAAAGAGAATATCTTGACAATTTCAAGATAAATAAAAAATGTCATTACAGAGGAAGAAGAATCAGATTGGCAGAAGAGTTGCTCCATCAGCAGCTCTGATGTTCAAAGTTCAGAGTGAAAATTACTTTCAATCTAGGATGCTACACCCAGCCAAACCCATCAATCAAAATTAGGGCAGAATAAAGGCATTTTTAGACAGTAAGAACTTTTAATGTTTACTTCCAATTTTCCCTTTTTTAAGGGAAGATTATTTGACGATATACTTCAGCAAAATGAGAAGTAACAAGAAAAATAACGTGGGATCTGAGAAACAATAAAATATATTATTTGACTGTGCAGTTGGCAGAACAATTACACAGTCATTGCTGTCCATGCTTAGAATCAATCTACAAAAAGAGCATTTACGGTTACAGAACAAATTGTCAATGCTAACAACACTGGCAATGTAAAAGGAAATTGGGATGTCAAGGTAGAAATATCCTTATTTTACCAAATAGGAAGTCAAGAGAGATATTTTGTTGTTTCACATTTCTGTCAAGTAAAGCTCACCTTACAGTACTGATAGGCAGGGGAATGATGTCAGTTTAACAAAGAAGTCACTTTTGTTCACATGCATTTTTTTTTCCAGCTTGTTAATGGTTTGCACCATCAAAAAACATCAGCTGAATACACAGTGCACTCACACAGCCAAACACAGCAAGCCACAGGGCTACACAGCACTGTACATAAAGCCCATCTATCCCATGTGCTTCCTCTTCTCTTAGCTCATGAGCCCTCCTTCAGAAGTGCTTATTGTATAGTGCCCTTCTGTTCTAATCTTACATCCATAACAATCTTAACTCTTCCTTTTAACTTTCCTCCATCAAGCTACCTTCAACTTTAAAAAAAAAAAGTTATGTGTTTCTTTAATAGGAATTTAACATGACTTTTTAGTTGTGTTAGCATTTATATTGATCGTCATTTTTGTTAGTGCCCTACTAATTAAGAAGTCAATATAAATAACTACATTTGATAATCAAGAAAGAGTGGTATATGATTTAGAGATATACAGATGACCATCAGAAGAACCAAAAATAGAAACTGTTCAGAGTTTTAAAACTAGCTCCTCAAAAAGTTGCAAATTAAAACCACAGATACCGTTTTTACCTGTCAAATTACCAAACACTATAAATAATAAACACATTTGATTTCCAGTGCATATGAGGTATAGGGAGCTAATGGCAGTATGAGTGATATAATACTTTTGAGAAGAAATGTTGCAAAGCATATCAAGAATTTTATAAATGTTCATATTCTTTGACTTAGTAATTCCATATATGGGAATCTAAGCTAGAGAAAATACAATAAAAACTCTAATGTACAAAAAAGTTCATCAGAGTATATACATTATGTGTATATAAGACTAGGAATAATCTGAAAGTACAACAAAGAGGGAATAGTTAAGCCAATTACCTAACACTTCTTCAGGGAATATTTATTACAGAGTAATTAAGAAGGATCCTTATGAACAGTTTATATTAAATATTATATACTCTAACAGATGTTTCCATTTTAAAGTGAACAAAACAAGATATTAATTTAATAAAAACTATAAAAAAACAGAAAAGTTACAAAATATGGTTATTATCTTTGAGGAATGTGATGAAATCAAGGATTATTTTGTTCTTTCCTTTCTATATTTCTATAATTTCCAAGTTTACTGTAATGAGTATAGATTCTTCCCTCAAAAGATAACAATGAATAATGGACAGTCAGAAGTTATAGGAACTCTGTTTACTGAATAATTAGTTGGATTTCTTTTATAAAGAAAGCAAAAGAAGTTCATGTTGCTTGTAGGACTATAAAGGACATACAAAATTTCTTGAAGGGAAAAAAAATCTAACTCTGAACATGACTGCTAAAAAAGGTAACTGTTTTGTTTTGTTTTTTAAGTGGCTGGCCAGTATGGGGATGCGAACCCTTGACCTTGGTGCTATCAGCACCATGCTCTCCCAAGTGAGCTAACCGCGAGCCCCAAAAAGGTAACTATTAAGACAAGCTGTAACTTTGACTTTTTTACTCTTCCCTAAAAAATAATTGTAATACTAAGTTAAAGATGAGAAAAGTAGGACCTTGATACTTCCTGTCATATGTGTCACAGATTAGATTCCTGCCATTTCCTACTCTTATTTCTAAAGGGCCACAGGCAACGGGACTGTCAATTTCAAGTCCTCCATTTACAACTAATGAAATTTCTCTACTTGGAACAAAACAGACTTGAGATTTATGAGCCCTGCCTTGCCCACTGAAGAAAGTGAAAGTGAAGACCAAGATGAGAAGTTACCAACTTTACAAAGCAAGAGAGGGTAAGAATCTTTGTGGCTTGGGCAATCTGTTGCCCTTCTGTCATATATAATCAGCAACCTTTAATTACTAAACACTGTACTGCATAACACCATATATTTCACACAAAGACAGATCAGTACCTAAAAAATAGGTTGGCCCTTGGGAAAATATGCCAAAATGTAGAATGGATAAAATTCTGTTTCTGGTACAAGACATCCTAGAGATGTAGAGAAAGGAAGGCTTAGAAAGCGTAAAAAGACATTGGAATGTATCTCCAAGTTCTTTCTGGAAAATAATCTTTTTAAATAACAATTTAGAAACTTAAAGCCTGGAATGTGATCTTTTTATTAAAATGATTTTCTTTGGTGATAATTTGTAAATATTATATATTTTTTCTCATAAACAAATTCATAAAAAAGTCCATAAAAAACAGTCCATTGCTATTTTTTACATAATGTCTACATAATTCTAAAGTCAGTAATTATAACTTTTCCAAGAAAAAGAAACAAGTACATTTCTAATGCAAAAAAAAAAACTCTCAAAAAAATAAAGTATTAGCACTTCTGTCTTAACATTAGAAATCTTTTCTCTCAAGCACCACACAAATTATCTACAAAAAAGACATCTTAAGGCATAGAATAAATGTATACTGTTTAGCTAATTCTAAATGCAGTGATAAAATTAAACTGTTATAAACACAGGAAAACAATGTTACGTGTTTATTTTACAAGTTTCTCTAAAATGTACTCTATGTTACTGATATGATGCTACAAATATACTGTTATTTATTCTGTGCACACAAACTTTATCTCGTGGTTTAAAAAAATTCTTTTATGTTTTCTATTTTCTGTCCTCCAAAAGTAGTATTATGGAACTGAAAACGAAACCATCATCTTTAGTTAAGTCTCATCTGGTTACATGTATCTCTGGTTGATTAAGAACTCAAATATCTTTTTTCTCAGAACGCTACTTTTCTTTCCCATCTTTTCTCTGGTACGTGTACAAACCAATCATCCCTTGGATTTCACTAAGTTGAAAAATTCTTTCTGGTTATGAAGCAGCCAAGAACATACTTTCTGGTTTCAAACAGACCAGGCCCAAGGTTATATATCCTATCGTAACCATGACACCTATAAATAATTTTATACATTAAAGTTAATGTAATTTTGAATGATTCACTTAACTGCTAAAATTGAGAGAAGATAATTTTTTTTTAAAGTTGAGGCAAAGAGACAGTCAACTTCATAAATCTTATTTAGTACTACTGAAAACAATTTTAACCCATATCTGGGCATATAACTACAAACATTTTTGAAAAATATATACACATATGTCTTTACATATGTGTATACACAATAGACAGACAAATAGACAGAATTTAGAAGTTACCTATTTTAATGATACTGTAATATCCTGAAAAGCTAAAGGACAAAAAGAGCACTATTCTACACATGCTGTTTCTTCAATCTTCTTATACTAAGTAGACTAAGTTGTCATTACACAATACAGACCCACACAAACACATATATGTAGTACCTTTAATTTTGTATTCTCAAGATTCAGAGTTTCATTTTCATATTCAATCGAGTGAAGTTTTCTAAGAATTTCTTCACATGAATTTTTTCCATGGTCTTCCATTTTCTTCAGGTCTCCCAAAAGATTATTGATTTGCCTTTATAAAATAAATGATACATTTCATGAAAGTCATAGAAATTTTCATTCAAATAACACATTTTTTTGTGTGTTTCTGAAGTCATTTTGATAGGGTGGACTGTTTCAAATAGGGAAGATATAAAATGTAAATACAACTCACAGAACAGGGGAACTAGGAAGAAGTAATCTATAAGGTTACCACCAGAGCAACCTAGATTAGAAACAATTACCCCCTGATGAGGCTAACAAAAAATTATACCACATACTCTTTGTTACTCAATAAAACATTTAAACTATCATCCATAGGTATGGATGTCTGTCTGTCTCTCATTCACACACAAGCACACACACATATACACAGTTTTAGGGACATGGTTAAAGAAAATAATCAAGTCAGGCAATAACAACGACTACAATCTTTAAAAGCAAATTCTATATGCCAGTTTTAAATGAGAAAACTGAAGAGCATACACAGAAAATAAAACATTTAAAAGCAATTGTTCAGGGTTCGTTATTGTTAGGTTAACAGTAATAAATTTCAAAGCATAATATATATGTAGTTTTACTCTTTGATTTTCTTTGTTATGCATTTAAGATACTTTAAGGAACAATAATTTTTAGGATATTCAAAGCATTATGTATTATAAACTTTGTTATATATTCTTACTTACACATTCCTGTTTAAAAAAGAAATATCACATACTCGAATACCATATAGTAATCTACAAGTTCAAAATCTCAAAATATGAACACCAATGCACTTTTAATAGTAATCACTTTTACTGTTTTTTGTGGTAGAGTAAGAAAAGTTTATAAAATTATAAATAGCAAAAATATCAAATCCTATAGATAGCACCTTTACCACATGGAATCCAGAAGAACCAAAATTCAAACCAGTCAGAGAGTAAAGAACTAAAAACATTTCTTAACTAAATAGTAAAAAGATTCTCAATTTTTTTCTTACTTTTTCATTGTTTCAATCTGAACTTCCAATTCAGTTTTTTCTATTACAATTTTCTCATAATGACTTTTCCAGGCATCAGAAGCTGAAATTGTTTCAGACAACTTGGCTTCCTAAAAAATATGTAAAGCACTTATCTTGTAATTTAAAAATGTTTTTGTTATATTCAGGGCCCTAAACACAAATACATTATAAACAAGGAAACACTCTTCCAATAAAGTATGAAACTTTTATTATAGAAAATTTCAGTGTACAACTTTTGAATATAGGAAAGTTTTAAAGTTAACTTTAATAAAAATATCTGCATTACTATTATTTTATATGTACACAGTGGAAGATCCAACTTAACATTTTAAAGTATGTTGATGCAACTAGTTTTAAACAATGTTTCATAATTAATGAAGATAATTCCTTTCTATTTACTGAAGTTTTCATTTTACATTCTATACACAGACGATGCTAACAACCATGTAACATCAGAGGAGAAAGAAGGCCTCTATGGTATACACAGAAACTACCCCCAATTCCACAACTCCATAATCATTTATCTTTGTTATAATGATGCCAAGCTCTATTTTGTAGAAGTCCCCTGTTGGCCTTCAAACACAGCTACTCTCAGCAAAAATATGAAACTGGTAGTAGTGGCTTATCCATTTAAAATACGAGTTCCATGAGGTAGGGATTTTTGTCTGTTTTGCTCGTTGCTGTATTTCCAGGGCCTTGAATGGTGCCTGGAGCACGGCAGACACTCAATAAATGACTCTCTGCAGAACTGTAGCCATTAAAGAGCTGTAGCCATTGTGCCCCCATCTACATTCTACAGAAAAACAAACTCATTAGAATGCGACAGTGCCAGAATTACAAATCAGAAGACCCAGAAACAGTAACGACAACAGTTAACATTTATTGGGTGCTTCTTTCTCTCCTTCCATCATTCATGTATTCACTTAAAAAGTATTTATTGGGCACCGAGTATGTACAAGACATTTTTTGTTTAATTTTTTTACAGTAATATTTTTGACATATTGAATATTAGTATTCTATTTTCATATTTTATATAAAGTGGATTTAAATATAAATCATGGTGTGAATTAACAATATAATGTAAATTAAGATTTTAGAAACTTTACATATAAAAAAAGGAATTTATATATTAGGGTGTAATTATTCCCTGCTTCATTAGTATGACATTCCTAGAATGTAGAACTAGTCAATGATGAAATCACTTTTCTAGAAAGACTTTTTGAGATGACCTACCTTTTCTTTTTGCTTTAAAGAAATGACACCTCTAAGCCACCAGAAGCAAAATTAGGATGGGCCCAATTTTCAAAAAAGGAAATGAGATAATTATTCAGTGTGCAGAATTATAGGGCATTTAACATCCTAGCCTCTGGGCATTAAATGTCAGGATTGGTTCTCCCCAGCACTTTCAAAGTCCTCATTCTTCTTTCATCTGTCCTTATAAACATGCAGGCATAATGCAAAAGCCCCCTTTACCTTTCCTCCCACTGCACTGAAACTGTAACTGAACTAGGAACTAGTGACCTAATTACCAAAGACCACAGACCCTTCCAAATCTTCATTTTCTTTGACGTCTCTGTAGTACGTGGTAAATTTTAGGCATTGTGTAGGTATGAGATGACATTTTACTGACTATTTAGCTCCTTTTGCTGAATTGTTCATGTTTTGGACTTAAGATATTGCTTTAAAAAAATAATGGTACCCATAGGTGAATGGGATAAGCAAGCTCCTGCCTCCTAAGACTTACATTTTTCTAGAGGGAAACAGTTAACAAAAAAGAAGTATACTAAAAAATAAATGAGATAGTATCAGATTGTAATAAATGCAATGAAAAAAATTTAAGACATTAATATGATTGTTACAGGACTAATTCAAAAATACACCTGAAAGATTAAAAAAAAAGAACCAGCTATTGTGAGACAGGGAAGAACATTAAAGCCAAAGGCAGCAACAACCAAACAAAACAAAACAAACTCCATGCACTAGAGAAATAGAAAGGAGGACAGTATGGCTACAATGTATGGCTGGGAACTGTGCTTGACCTAAGTTTTTTCATTTATCCCTCTCAACAATCATATGAGATAGGCAGTATTACTGTCCCATTTCATAGATAAGAAAATTGAAGCTCAGAGAGGTTAAATTCCTTATTTGAAGTCACAAAGTTGACAAGTGGAGGAGCCTTTGTACACTACAATCTGGCATATGGGTGATGCTATTTCAAAAGGAAAACCCCAGGAATATTAACTTCTCCATTAGTTTTTACCACTCAAGAACATTTTCAGGCATTCAACCAGGTCTACAACCTTTTAGACTTTGAATCTAGTCTTCAATTCTTTTATCTAGTTAAATTCTTCTGAATGTATGCTAAATATTAGAGCCTTAAAATGTTAACACAAGCAAGTAAAATGTTAAGCTGTTTTGTTTGCAAAAGACTTTTATACCAGTCTGTTTCCATTTCTAAAAGCCTCCAATAATTCTATAAGCCTTAACATACATTCTTAAGAGGTGGGATATCAGTGAGACATTAAAAAGAATATTTTACTTATTGGTAACTAAACAAATACTTGTATATAATAATTCATCAAAAACAATGAAGCACTAAATCCACTTTTCAACTTTGATCAATACCCAAAGGTATCTTTCACATGGTGTGTTTATGTCAGCGTATGATTTTAAATGCAAATAGAGGTTTAAATGAAGTGAATTACTGAATAAAGTCATATGGTCTAATAACATAAATCAGCATTTCCCAAGTTGGTGTTCCTCAGAACCAGTTCCAAGAGTTGCTTTGTGGGCAAAACAAGAGTTCTGGGGTTAAATGAGGGAAACTTTTAGTTCAATACCCTTCATTATGCTGTCTTTCTGAAAGCCTTCTTAGGGCCTTTAATATGTTAATATGCACTGTAACTTTCTAAGGAGTAAAATGTATAGTTTTACCCTTAGTGAGTTGTCCATAGAAGCTTTTTTTTTTCTTGAGTGGGACACACTTAACATTTCCTTTAAGTTCCCAAGAAAACGCTGATATAATTCAACATACAAATCTGACGTTTTATGCAATCTTTCAAAATAAAAGATTAAAGCAAAAAAGTTGTTTTTCTAGTATCAATAGTATTAAAAGAAAAATGAAATTGTTAAGCATTAACTACATAAAGTAAGCACACAAAATATATCTTTAAAAAACAATGCATATACATACCTGATCTCTAATTTGGGAAATAAGGTTTTCAATATCTCCTGTAAAATGTTCGAGCCTTTGTTTGTAAATTTTAGATGCCTTTTTTAGAGCTATAGCTTTTTTCCTACTTGCTTCTTTCATCACTACAGCCTCATGCTTATTCGTTTTCAATTGCAAGTTCCATTTGGCTATCTTGGTTTCTAAACTCTAAAAAAAATTAGCAAAAATGAAAATTATTTCAGAACTACATTGTTTATGTAAACTTTGCAAATGTATGTACATAAACTTCCACACAGATTTCTCAAAACAATTGATCATAAGATTAACATAAAGCAAAACAGTGACAACAGGTAATTTTACCAATGCTTCTTTGTAATCAGTTAAAGAATCCAAATTTAAAATATATAAGCCTATATAAATCTAATGCTACCATTATTAAAAATACTAATATTGGTGATTAAATTTAATACAAACACTAACTTACTTCAAACTTCTGTGATTAACTAGAACATTTTTTTAGTTCACACCTAGAATATTACACATAGTACTAGTTTTAAAAAACTACTTTTAAAAAACATAATTGAGCTGGAAACTATCCAAATAATAGGCAAAGCTCAAAGGAATTGGTAGATCCCCAAATGTATTAGGACTCTTTAGTTCAAAAGATTAAGGCTTAAAGGAGATATGACCAAAATCTATAGTTTGTGAAAGGTATAAATTAAATAAACATAGACTTATTTATCAAATTTTAATTTACTAGAATTGGGGAGCATGCCCTGACACTAGAGTTACATTATATTAAGGACAATAAAAGTACAGTACTGTTTTACCCAGTGAGTGGGAAATTTGTGGAAGTCATTATTCCAAGACCAAACACAGGTGTAGAGAAAATAATGATCAATAAGAGTAAAAATATGTTTGAGGACATGCGTCTATCCATTGAGTGTGATGCTGTTAATTGGCATGACCATCTCCTTGACATGTCTTGGTGACATAATGAGACAGAATATTAGGCTGGATGGATGATGGATCTGATTTAGTGTGATAACGCTAAACTTCAAATTATTTTAAGAGTTTTTATTTAAGGTATTTGAATATTAAGTATCTAAGAATTTAAAGACTTTAGTTTTTAATGCTTTTACATTTTGAAAGCTGTGTAACATTGAAAAGAATGTGAAATTATCACAGAATTTCTATTTCAGTATCCCATTCCCTAGAGAGCCATTTTAATTTAAAAAAAAAAAATTCAAAGCAGTCACAGTAAAAGATGAGGCTTTTCTACTTAACTGTGTGATCAACAAAAACTACGCTTCTTAACTTCTGCTAAAACTGAGATTAAGAAGTACATCTTAAGATTTAGACTTGATCTCTTTGAAGAGTGACCAGGTAAGCTAAGGGAAGAAGCAACACATTCCTAAATTGTCTTTAAAAATATATCTTAAACTAAAAAAAAAAAAAAATCCCATGAAAGGTTGTAATAAATAGTTGGGGAAAAACAACAGTACAAGTCAGTCTACATAAGAAAAAGGAACACCCAGAGGAAAGAGCTGTCATTCCTCTAAAAAGCCACAGGGTGTCATCATCGCACCATGAATAGTTGCTGCACTTATGTGAAAAAAAAAATCTTTTTAAACACTAATTTTGTTTAACAAAGCTCCAAATAAGTCTTTTTCACTAGATTTATCAAATCCCACACTTAAGCACTACCATGGAGTGTACTGAAACTATCAAATTATTGTTATGCTTCCAAAATAAAAAACCCCTCAGTTACTTGCCAAATGAATACACATTAAGTTGATTATTCACCTTTTCCTATTTCCAAAGAACTATATACATGTTGTGTATTATACAGATAATGATTCTCTATATCTTCTAAAAATATTAGAATATTCTAATTGCTACATTACAAAGATATAGGAGAAAAATGGTTCAAAGTATCTTTGGGATGGTTCTCAGAGAATTACAATGTAAATGTTTAACAGACCCGATTCAATGAACTGATTCCACAACACTAAAAAACAGATTTATGTTGCCAAACTGAGTTTTTGTACTCCTAAGAAACAACTACAAGAACAACAACAACTTGTTATACCTAAGTCAAAGAACTAAATTCTGACCCCTAATTACTTAATGCCTTAAATTCCAAAAGTGTGTGTATGAGAGGGAATGTAGAAAAATAACCTGGGCTGGCCCGGTGGCGCACTGCTACAGTGCGCCGCTTGAGAGCGCGGCAGCGCTCCCGCCGAGGGTTCGGATCCCACGTACAGACCGGTTCCCGCTCACTGGCTGAGCGAGGTGCGGGGGAAATACCGTGGGGTGCGACCACGGTGCCACAGTCTGGACGGCTGCGGCCCCTTCAAGAG